AAAAAAAAGAGAGATAAAACACTTTTCGGTTGATTAACTGGAATAATCTAATCAGGGCTCTAGAGTGCGACCAATTTGGTCGCAAATGCGACCAAATTTTTCAGTGGTGCGACTAAAAAAAAATATTTGGTTGCACCTGTGCGACCAACTGTTCGGGTAGCAAAAAAAAAAAAAATCTGCAACCTTCCCTGTGGTCAACAACAGACACACATTATGCCCCTATCGTGGACTAAACCAATCAGAGATAGTAAGGGGCGGGACCTCTCTGATTGGCCGTGGTCCAGTTGAAAGTGCAGGTGGAAGTGGGAGGTGAGTAGCTTGAATAAAGCGATATCAATTCATTAAATCCTGAATCGACTTTTAAATATAACTGTGTTTTGCCAGAAACGCCAGATTCTCAGATTAAAGCTCACAAAACCATTTCAACAACAACCAAACAGCAAATGAGAGCAGGTACACGGACTCCACACAAAGACGTAAACACAGAGCCGACGCATCAGAATCAACTTTGTCTTTCTCGGCTTTCTCACCCGACGGCCCGTAGACGGACACGCTGTCGGAGCTTAGCGATTCTGATGCGTCCGGTCCGCGCTGTGATTACGTCTTTTTGCGCTGATTCTGAGCTGCAGGTTTTGTCTCTCTCCAACCAAAATTCACCGAGCCAGCAGCAAAAGAAGCAGCAAACTGCGCTTCACATTTGATCAATGTCGTCATGAATTTTGCTGTTTTGCTTCCACGACTATTAAAATCACACTTCATGCACAGCTAGCTCTCTCTCTATCTCTCTCTGTACTTCAAGAACAGTTTCCCGTCTCCAATCTCTGTTTTCTGTATTATTCATTCGCTTATTACCCACCAGTCTACCGTTGTTTACAGCGCTGTGGCTGCTGTCTTTTTCTTTTCTTTTTCTTTTTTTCACTTAAATGACCTCGGACAAGAAAGCCTATTTTTTCTGTTGTTCAATACTGAAGAAATTTAAACTTTATATGCAGAACATTGTAGAATATTTTTAAGGTTATCTGCTATAAAAAGCCAGACCAGGAAAATCTCCTTCATGTTTTTCTGTGTTTTATTCTCAGTTACTTTCACACAAAGGCATCTGCTGTGATGTTCACAATTCTGATGAAGTCAGTACTGATAAATGATCAGAGTTATAATATTTCTGACTGTCTGAGGCTAAGTTGAATCGAATCGGGACTTTGAAAACCGGAATCGAATGGATTATAGAAATCAGTGATGATACCCAGCCCTAGTGAGCAGCCTAGGCACGACAGAAGTGGATGTAGCTGTAATAGGAAAAGAACTATTGCTAACTTTTCTGTTAAGTTAAGGCCTGATCCTTCTGAAATTCATAGCCAGTGCTCTGACACGGTGTCATCAATCTTTGAATGCTGAAAAAGCACAGTGTATCCAGAAAAACACATTATATTATATAATTATTATAAAATTTGTGTGCGCCTAACTTTTGTGCCGGTACGCCTAACTTTTTTAAGTTAGGCGTACCGGTACGCCCATGGCAAAAAGTTAGTCTAGAGCCCTGCTAAGACTTGTTGAATTGTTTTGATTTGTTGAAGCCTTTATGTGGACCACTTGTGTATGAGGATGACAGAATCGAAGGTTATTGTTGTTGTGATCAAGTTGAATTGTATCAGTAAACTACATGTTTAAATCAAGTTTGACATCATGTTTTCTAGTGTGCCAGAGTTGGGGGAGGAGGGGGGAAGTGGTGTTCGAGGACCCGTGCTCTTCCACCCTCCGCCAAACTGCCGGATTCGAGAAGTCCACTGCGGAACCCAGGTGCGATTAGTTGTCATAGCGATCCGAGACATCGCCAAAGGGGAGGAGATCACAGTGGACTACAGCCTAACGGACTGGGGCGAGAATGCAATGGTGAGTTACCAACTGATGGAAACGTGACATGTTGGGCGTTATTCTGTATTTGTCTCTGGCATGAAAAGATAAAAGCTCAACTGCGACTAGAGCCTTCTAAGAGTTTTCCTTACAATTGTTCTGTGTCATAGACCCCTGTTGCTATGAGGTGACAGTCCACCAATGCATAATCAAGCTTTAAGCCCTAATGCTAAAAGCTACAGATGGTAGCTGTGTGGGGAATTATTTTCCCGTTCATAAACGTGACTCTGTGTCCTCAGTAGGATCCAGGAGACTCTCAAATGGGCACTGCAGACAGAATGAAGTTTGAAACGATTGAGAGACACACATGAGGACTTTTTTCTTTTTGTTTTTTGCCTGTGAACTAAAAAAAATACATCTTTTTTTTTTTTTTTTTTAACTCTGTCCATTTAGGAGGAAGAGGCTGGCCCCCACCCACTATCGCTCTCTGTTTCTGATTACCTTACCCCCTCGTGGTCATTATCGCCCTCTTCCTCCCCACTCACCCACTCTGAACCCAGTGACTCAGATCGGGAGGAAGATGAAGAGGAGGAAGATGATGACGACGACGACGATGATGAAGAAGAGGAAATGGAAGAGATAAGGGGTCGAATGCTTCGGCGCCGCAAGAAACGCAAGTTGCCTGCGGCGGTCAATTCGAAGAAGAAGAATAATGCGCCCACTTCTTCCAGAGGACCTGGGCGCCCCTGCTCCTCCTTCTCCCGCCCGACACCTGTTGCACCCCCACCTAGATCCCAGCCCGCAGTCAGTTCTCTGACACCCCCAACCACTAACATAAACAATAACATCAACATAAACATCGGCAGTTCTAGTAGTCCCACGGTGAGCCGGCGGCAGCACTGCCCGTACTGCGGCCGGCACTACCGATCCCTGGCACGCCACCTGGAGAAGCACCACGCCAACCAACCGGAAGTCAGAACAGCCATGGAGCTGGCTCACCTCCACACGCACAGCTCTTCAAATGGCAGCGCCTCGCAACCCCACCCCTCTTCATCCTCCACCTCTGCTACTCACAGTCATTCCTTCGCAGTCCCTCAGTCGTCCTCCTCCAACCCAACCCCCCCATCTCTCTTTCCCAGGGAGAGGGAATCACCTGCCACCCGTTCGAGCACAGGCGCCGTCTCGTTCTCCCTTTCGCTTTCACCAAATGCTTCGGCTCAGCCTGCAGCTGCTAAGAAAGCACCCAGCTTACCACTGCCCGCTACAAAACCCCCAGCACCCCCGATGGTGCCCCGGGTAAAGAGTCCGTCACCTCCGCCACTGTCTACCCCCAGAAGGGGCCGGAGGATGAAGAAAGAAAAGCATGAAGAACAGCAAAAAGTCGAAGTGGAGAGTCCAAGAAATCAAGAGGAGTTAGTTCCACCTCCTACACCGGACCCAGACATCGATCCAGATGAAGAGCTGGAGCTGAGTGCGGAAGGGGAGGACGATGCACCTGAAGAGAAGAATGGAGAGATTGTAAGGTGCGGTGAATCATTGTCTTTTTTTCTGCTCTGCTGTATCTGTGTTTTTATGTTTGAGGTTTTTTGAAAGTTGGTTGAGATTCAACTGTTAATTTAAAAGCATGTTTCTCTTTCTTCCCTTTCCAGCACACACAGACATCACATGTCTCCACTACTCTCCTCCCTTTCTTGCCTGGTCCTGTATCTCCGTCGTCAGCAGCACTCCTCCTTCCTTTCTTTGACTCGTTCTCCTCACTCTGCCGAGGCCTGGCGCCTGCTCTGCCACTCCAGCCTCTCTCTGCTCATCCTCTACAATCGCCACCGAGAATGCGAGGTGGCCAAGCTCACTATCCAGGACTACCGTAACCGCATCACCCCTCAGCCCAACGCCAGCAACAGCTCCCCTTCTGGCATGGACGCTTTCCTGTCCCCCTTTGAGCGCCAGGTCTTGTGTCATCTCCCACGGGCTGGTGTCTTAGGCAAGCGAGGGCGCATTCAGCCACTAATTCTCCCGCCACACTGCGAATCCTGCCTCGACCTGCTTCTTCGAACCAGCCCCAACGTAGGGGTGGACCCAGAGAGCCCCTACGTCTTCTCCCGGCCCTACCACTCCCCTGCTACCCCACTCCGTGGCACAGACCTCCTGAGAAACCTGGCTCGAGCCAGTGGTGCTAAAAACCCCGGAGCATTAACGGCAACACGAGTGCGGCGACAGGTTGCCATCCTTACCCAGCTGCTACTGCTGGAGGAGGGTGACACCCAGGGAGGAGGCATCAAACGGCTGGAGGACTTCCTGGAGCACGAGTACCACGTGACCCAGAACTGCTCCACTATCATACGAGACCCAGCACTGATGGGTCGTGTGGGTCGAGTCGTTCTCTATGGAGAGAGGGAGGGAGTGCTTTTCAGAGGGATGAGCCTGCAGCACATCTGCCTCGAGTTGGACGGTAAGGAAACCCTTTTTTTTTTTTTTCTTTTTTTTTTTTTTACTTAATTTTTTTTCTATTCAGTAGAAATGATTGAGTGTTTGAGGAGTGTTTGCCCATCAACGTCTATTTAATGCATGACTTTTTTCTGTCTTTTTTTTTCTTTTCTTTTTTTAAATTTTTTTTAGAAAGTTCAGTGAACCCTAATTTCACCGGTTAAGAGTGCAGCTTTCATGGATTTAAAACAAACTAGTGCAGCTAGATGGCACTAGAGGTTAATATGAAACTTGGCGGGGGAGGGGGGGTTGTTTTTTAAACAAGGGTAAAGAATTGTGAGTGTGTTTGAGTGACTCAGGGAAATGTAGTGTGCTCATTGAATAAAATAAGAGTATCAATGGAACTCCGGCTCATCTTTAAAAAATGAGCATCAGCCAGCTGCTGGTTAGCTTTGCTTTGCATAAAATCAACAGGGAAAACGATTAGCCAGTCATTATGCTATGTTATGCTAAATCAAACACCTGCTGGCTGGCTCATTTTAAAAACTTGAATAATGTAAATTGTAGTTCTAAAAATGCAAAGTAGTTACTGAAATTTCATTTTTAAAATGTATTCAGTTATTTTCATGCAACATTATTTAAATACTGTAGTCTCCAATTTAAACTGCAACACACCCATGAGAGGAAGTTTACAAATCCGAGACCCATTTTAAGCCCTCGAGAAAAAACTTCATCATTTTGTCTGAGAAGAACATTTTACAACTTTGAACTTATTTATTAACATTTGAAGTAACATTAACCGTGTGGTTGAACAGTTTTGCTTTGCTAGTACGTTTGGATAACTAACCTCTGTTTGATCTCTTTTCATGCAGTCATGTCTGGCAACTCGGCAGATTCCTTCTCAGAAGATTCTGAGGCAGAGGAAGTGAAAGAGGAAATTAAAGAGAAGACAGAGGTCACGGTGAAAAAGAAGGGACCGGGCCGACCTCCGCGGAAGAAAAAGGCGCCCGTTCCATCACCTGTCGTCAGCCCATCTTTAGCTAATGCCCATAAGAGAAGAAACATTCCACCTAAATCAGGTAAAATCTGTCATCTTTAGTGCGTGATCTCACAAACATCTGTGTTAATACTTCAGTCATTAAACCGTGTCACTCCTCTGCCTCGGTCACACAGGGAAGCGCGGCGTCCTGAAGCGTCCCTGGTCAGAAGCCGAGCGTGTAGCAGTGGAGACTCACCTGAAGAGAAACCTCATGGAACTGCGCGTCCCCGCGAAGGCGGACTGCGAACGATGCCTCGAACTCTGCCCTCTGTTGGTGAGCAACCAGCGAGACTGGAGGGCGATCAAGTTCTACGTCCACAACCGCATCCAGCTGCTGAAGAAGCAGGGGAGGAGGGAGAGCGCGGCTGCAGTCTGCTAGGGCCGAGCGCAGACGTGGCACAGGACAGATATCATAATGTAAAAACCACCAGCAATCACAATGAAGAGGAAATACTCTAGATCACGATGGGACGCAGTTTCTCTTTCCCCTTTATTTTTATTTTATTTTTTACATGGGTGCCGTACTCTGAAGTATAGCTGCATTCCCCGTCTCTGGTCATATGGGAGTAGTGTAATAACAATGAGTAAGCTAAGAAGACAGATGGGGTACTGCAGTTAAGGATGATGAGTGTACTCGGTGTTGCGGATGCCTGTGTCTCTTTTTTTTTTTTTTTTTTTTTTTTTTTTTTTTTTTTTAAATTCCAGCGGTTTGTAAAAAATGTACTTTTGTGTGAATATGCATTGAAACACAACGAATGATTTTTTTTTTTGTATTATTTTATTATTTTTTTTTATGTCATTTTGCTTTACTACAAAACAGTGGCAAGCGAGTGAGTGTAACGGAGAGAGAGAAGAAACAAGCAACAAAGGTCTGTGACTACAGCAGTTGGTCCAGCATTTCTTTCCACTGAAGGCTGAAGACCAAACATGAATGTGTAAAGCTTTGGAAGAAGAAACCAGTGGTTCTGATCTTTATAACTAGACTACATGTCATGTGAAAAAAATGTATGAAACTGTATAGTTTGTGTTTGATACTGACTGACGTTGTTCTCCCAACTCATGGCTCCCACATGAAGAGTGTATTAAAGTATTCTTCAAAATCTCGGACCATGATGCACCTGTGAAGTGTTTTTTGCAAACCTCTGTACCATGATCATAGTCAAACTAGTATGTATCAAGGCACGCCTGAATTTATTGCGTAACATAATTTAAAAAAAATAATTGTATTTCAAAATCAACATATGGTCTTATTCACAATGTAAATACTTACTAATCTATCAAAGTATGCAGTAGTGATTACAAAGTATTGTGTTATTGTGTACATACTGTAAATACTATCTGTACTTATTAAAGTGTATGACATTTTGCTGTGTTTTCGTAAACTGGTTTGTGTAAGCTGAAGACAAGAAAAATGAAATGACAAATTTTCTCATCCTGTATCGATTTTGTTTATTTAAAAAAAAAAGGCAGTTCTGCAAAATGTCAACATTATCAAACAAATGCACATCAATCTTTTACATTGTTTTACAAACACAACGAAAAATATCAGAGCTTTGCAGTACACAAACAGCATGTTGTCAGGTACGCTGCTTTCTGATTAGTATTCAAAATGCATGCTAATTACTGTAATGCTTAATTCAGAGTATTTGAAAGGCTATTCTATTTACATATGCATACCATCAAAACTTGACAACAATACAAAGACCACTACAGTAGTGACCCATCACAAAATTTAAAATGGAAAGTGATCTAACACATCAGTACACCCTCACCCCCACACCAAAAAAGAAACTTAAAAATGGTCATGTGATGTAAACAAATCTTATAGCTACTGCACAAGCAACACGTCCTAATCACAGTATAAATAAAACGAGATGGTGTTATTGGCATACAAATACACTCCGTATACAAAGTAAAACACGCAACATCCAACATTGGTTCCACATTAAGACGAGAGGGGTTTGAGAACAACTGTAAAACTAACCAAGCCACAGACACTGCTGCAATCACAGTATCCTACACACTTGGGTATAAGAAGAAGGTACTGAGTGATACTAACTACTATGTACAGATCTGTGGTATTCTCCAGGATCAATTATTGTGCTCTGTGTTACCACAGGGTCAGCTTTGTCAACAACCACAGTAATCATTGCATCACTGAAACACTGTCAGATACTGATGGCTGGATGTGTAGTGTTCTCTGTTTGTATTAATATTTTTGGTAGTATTTTACTATTTTGTCGTATTTTTGCTTTGTAACAGTGATAAACTATCAATGATCAGTTATTGATAAGCTAACCCTGTGGTATTTGTGTTAGCTTATCAAGAATCATAATTTATGGCACTATCGTCATCATTACGCACATTAACTGTTGTTTCACACAAGTTGAAGATGCAAGGCAGTGACCTCACATTCCAGGATTTTATCATTTAGGGAATATCACAAAGGTAAGGAGCTTTTATTCCCAGGATGATGATAAGAAAGTTTGCCCTCTTTACCACTGGCAGAAGCACAGTAACACACTGCTAACAGAAATAGTCCATTACCTGTGTATAGAATTTTAGAGCAGCCATTGTTTTAGTTTACAAAAAAAAGGTGTATAAATGCGCCTGTAACACAGGTACAAAGGTCATTCCTCTAAACTTTACACCTGATTGTAAAATATTATGCCAATTTATCAGGGCCTAAGTAACCTGGCTCAGCAATATCTGACAGGCATGTGAACTACAAACCAGCTATAACGCTCATGTTATCGGGTTTACTCACCTCATTTAATTTTTCTTTGTATTAGTGTGCATGAATTTATTACTTTTATCTTTCAGATCATTATTTTTTTATTTTTGACTCACATTTTTATATATTTTGTAATCTTGCTCTTAATTCTTGCATTTAACTTTATTTTATTCGTACTTGCTTAATGTTTGATTCACTTTTTGGACTTCTCTTCATGATTATTTCAGATTAAAAATGAAAAATAAATTGCACACATTTATGTCTCTTCATTCAGTTTCATGTCAGCTAGAAAATTTGATGATTAAACCTCCACAGCAGTACTCATTTTGTTTATCGTATTTTGCCTCCACTTGGAATCGAATGTGTTAAAGGCATAAAGGTTTTCTTTCTTGTTTGCCTGCCTAAATTAATAGAGACATTAATTAACTTTTTAACCATAACCAAGAAATTCATAGTTTCAATTGTATTTACATAAAATGATGCTGCCATGGAGTTTGAGTTAATATGACCTCCAAATTTTTAAACGGTATAAATAACCTGAACATGAGACAGAATTGATGGATTTAAAGGTCTCAGTAAGTCAGTATAAAAGTAATGTGAGGTCATTCGTTACTTTTCCCATAAAAACAAAGAAAATGTTTCAGCTTGTACAGTTTTCCTTACTTACAATATTAAGTTTCAGTCTTGTTCTCAACTGATTCTGCACAGTTTCCTTCATCACCTGTTTGACTCTGTACTTCCCTGTGTACTACCACCATAGGTGATTTGTCACCTTTCCCGGGGTTAAATAATGGAAAGATGTCACCTTTGAATGTAGCCGTGAAAGATCCAATTAGTGTTTTCTCTTCTACATTATAAAATGAAAGCTCACCACTGTCACGATCCAAATACACACCGACCGTCTCTGGTCTTGAATGGAAAGGTATTGAAATCTCAGGTTGTGTGCTAAACTGAAAACTATTTGCTCTTTTGGGAGACGAAGACAGAAACCAGAAACCATTAGATGTGTTTGGAAAAGATGTGGATGAATTACTGGGGATTTCAGCTGCACTTGTAACTCCTACCCACCAGGACTGTTTGATGCCTAGCTTCTCATCTATCCTCATAGAAACCTCCCAGTAGTGTTTTCCAGAAGAGAAGCCAGATGTTCCTTTGATAGCTGTGACACAGGTAACCATGTCTCCATCAGGAAATTCTATCTGGGCCTCTCTCACTCTGTTGCCTACAACCTTGAGGTATGGGTTGTTTCTGTCCTCAAGTTTAACATTAACTGTTGAAAATTGAATCAGAAAGAGTGACAAAAGTCATGAAAGAGAAAAAACTGTGAAAATGTGAGATTGTCAACAAAATGAATGAAGTTATTACCATAATGATTTCTAGCTTCTGAAAGACGTCCATCTTCTGTAGGGAAATAGAGAATACATGTGTTTATTATATTATGTCCTAATGACATAACCTTCATGTGTCACAGTGATTCTAAGAACAAGGACGGCTTTAGTAACGTCTTACCTCCTGCTAAAAGTTTTCAGTCTCTGTAGAGAAATACAACAAATAGTTTATCAGTATTTTTCGTTTTAATGAAAGAATCATTTGAATCAGATTTCTTTGTCATGTCAACACTGTGCAAATGATTACAGAATGTCTTGTGTAGCTTTCCACAGTGATACTGATGGGTCATTGTGGGATACTGCAATCCTATAACTTTTGCAAGGTAGGAGGTGTATGTGATATCGGATGATCTGATATCCTCGTGTTGGTGTTGTTCCCAGACCATCATGAAAATGTTGTTCCATGGTTCAACATTGCAAGTGACCAATCACATTGTTGTGACGTTATTCTTTTGCGCGCCAAGCCATTCGTGCATTTATGAAATTCCAATGTTGCAAGGACAATATCAATTCTGCTTACTGTTTATTAAAGGGTTACGGGTTAGGGTCAGGGTCCGTTGATCGGCGGACAGAGGCGGTTTCACGCAGCTTAGTACAGTTTTTTGTTTTACGCCGGTTTTTCCCGAAGTCGCAAAAGTATGACGTCACAACATTCTGATTGGTCACTTGCAATGTTGATCCTGGAACAACATTTAGTATGATGATCTGGGAACAACACCAACACGAGGATATCAGATCAACCATCGATATCTCCATGTTGGTGTTGTTCCTGCATCATCATAAAACTTAGGTCCAGGATCAAGATTGCAACCAACCAATCACAATGTTGTGATGTCCATTTTTGTAGTGTGGGGGAAAATAATAAACTGTCTTTGCTTAGATAAAATCCTTCTGAAAGACATATTACGTAAGTATTTTGAGTGTTTTATTTATTATTTTTTTCAGTGTAACAAATATATTATCAGATTAGCTTTGCTGTTAGCCAAATTTAGGCTACTCCTGTTGGTTTCCTAGTGGCAGTTTTTAAAGCATCAGCTAACTTCTTGGCTAATGCTAACAAAGTGCTCAGACAATATGATTGGAGACTTGCGATATTGATCCTGGACCGACATTATGATGATGTGACCCATCAGTATCACTGTGGAAAGCTACACAAGACATTCTGTAATCATTTGCACAGTGTTGACATGACAAAGAAATCTGATTCAAATGATTCTTTCATTAAAACGAAAAATACTGATAAACTATTTGTTGTATTTCTCTACAGAGACTGAAAAACTTTTAGCAGGAGGTAAGACGTTACTAAAGCCGTCCTTGTTCTTAGAATCACTGTGACACATGAAGGTTATGTCATTAGGACATAA